TCACATTACCCCCCAAAAAACTTTTCATGATCCAACTTATAGTTTTTAAGCTTGTGACGCTGCTCATTCAGTCGAAACTTGCTGAATGAGGGAGTTTGAAACGTAAATAATACACAGCATATTTGTGCTCTGCTAGCTTTTGCTTTGGCACATAAATTTTTGCTGGGGCTGTATGATATTATTCCCTCCCAGTTAAGTGGTTAAAGTCAGACAAGGATTTTGTAAAACAGTGTGCAGGCCTGAGGCATCCAAACAGTATAAACTGACTCCCCCTGAAGGAGGAATAAGGTTGAGATAAAGGGGTAAAAACCAGAAGAGACAGGAGGTGAAAGGGGCTTCCTCTATTTATAAACAGCCTTTATTTCCAGCTGACGAGCGACACTGGACAGATGTCTGTGGGGAGAATTAGAGCTGCACCATTCTGGATGAACTGAGAGTCATGATTTGACTGTTTAAATCAGAGATCACAATTCTTAGACTATTCTGAGCAAACAACTTAGTAAAATGTTACAAACAATAAACACAAATAGAAATGATTTACTAGTTCTGACAATGTTATTTGATGTAATCTTTTAAATGTAATCTATTTTTAAATATTCTATTATTAATTTATTCAAAAACTTAGTCATGAAGACTCTTAACTAGACGAATCAGCATTTTTGTCAAATACAATTTTCATTAGTTGTTTTAATAGTAGTTTAATAGTCGCTACCATCGAAATCTGTTTATATCTGTGACAATCTGAATGTAACTCTGAAGTGATATTACTGATAGGAAAAATAAAGACTGAAGCTGTCCATATATGACTGTTCTTTCTGAGCCAAATGCAGATTTGAATTTAGTCACAATCAAAGTTGAAATAAACATATGCGAATTGTGATCATTTACAATTAAGATGGTAAGGGTGTTTGAATGGGGAGTTGAAGTGCGTTAACCCCTCAATGCACTGCTAAATTCTGCAGCTTCTTGTTGTAATTGGGGTAAGGGTGACCCCAGTCATTTATTGAGTGAATATCAAACCATTTTTTTAAATAATATAAATTAATTTTTTTTTATTTACTTCTCGTTTATACATTTAAGCAATGATTTAGGATAGATTAATTACCCTTTTAAAAAGGGCAGCTTTGTTCAATGTAACATAATTTCAACTGAAATATGACGACAATGCGGTACATAAAGAAGCTCCTCCTCCTCTTAAAAAAAGCAGCTAACAGCGTTTTGTTTATATCACAGCTCTGCCAGTCAGAGCAAAGTACATCTGACACATAACAGTTTGTTTAATACTTTAAAATACATCATTCAGCTTTATTTAAATACATTTATTACATTTTGTGGTAGCTTACACATATGATCTGCTCTGAGTTACCATCTCTCTGGACTAGAAAAGGCTGTATATATGCTGCTGAAGCCGTTCACATGACATTAACATGAAAGCACACTTCATTCATCCCAATGGAAGTCATATTTAGTATGCCTGAATTGTTTTAAACTATATATAGCACTATTGGCCAACAGTAAATGCGTGTAACAGACTTAATTTTCAATGTTCTAGTTGCCTGCATGCTGACTGCATATGCACATGTTAAAGGGGGGACCTATTATGCCCCTTTTACAATATTTTAAATGAATTGAATAAAGTGTTCCTCAAGTGTGTATGAGAATTTAAGTTGTTCTAAACTCTTTGTTACTGGCATTATCTTCAGCAAGTATGATGTGAAACCTGCTGTGTTCACACCAGACGCAGAACGTACGGAAAAATTGCGCTATTGGCGCGCAAATAGCCGCGTGAACATTTGAGTTTACTCGCTTCACTCGCGCATCAAACCCCACTTCATTCGTGTGTCAAATTCACTTAAGAACAGACGCGGATTCGCGTGATGGGCAGGGCTTCTGTCTGCCCAAAGACTCTAGCTTCATAGCTAAATGGCTAACATCGATTTTATGAAGAAAATAATAGTGTTTATGTGCTTTATGAAGACTGAAAAACAGCGTTGATACGTTTAGGGTTGTGTCTGAGTCCACTACATACTTTCAGAGGTGCATCCAGCTCTGTGAGCTCATAAACTCCTCCAGAAACTTTACCTGGATGATGGAGGCTTTCAGCGGTGCTTCTGACTGAGCCAAGCCCAGTTTGATAACTGCTGTTGGTGAAGGCTGGAGGATTTCCCTCGGACCACCGACAACAGGTTCTACGTCACAGTCACGCCCCCACAAAAGCAAGTTTCTGATTGGTTAACGCGGCGCGAATGTACGCTGAAGTTCAGATTTTCAAACTCGAGAGATTCGTTTTGCGCGTCAAACCCGCAAAACGCTCAATGGAGGATGTCTATTCGCACGTTTGCATTGACAACATGTAAATCACTCGCGCTTGACGCGCGTTCCGCGTCTGGTGTGAACGCAGCATAATGGTGAATGGCTTCTTCTTACTCAGGGCTGTCTATGCTATTGAGGGAGAGACTGTTAATAATGGGCGAGGCTTCCCCCTCTGATGACATGTATAAAGGAAGAATGTCAGTCAAAGCGTTTCTGCAGACATGTAGTGTGATTATAAAAATGTGAATTAATTCATTTTTATTATTAGAAGCTGTTCATATTCACAAACTGCTACACCACAAAGTGATTTATTTCATAATGGTGCCCTTTAAATGTATTTTCCACCTCTATTTTTGCTTTATAGTTGATAGTACATGTGCAAAAAACCTAGACTTTTTGGAGTCCTCCCAAGCGGCAACATCTCGCTCTCCCTCATGAAGCCAATACGGAAGTAACTGAAACTGCAATTCATCGACTGGCCTTTGGGGGCTGGCTCTATGCACTCCAGACGTTCACTGACTGCCATGCTAAATTAGCCATGTAACAAAGGACGGTTTTGATGCATATAGCTAATATTACCTTTCAGGACAACTGTGAGGGGGTGAATTTTGTCTCTTTGTTTTCATTTGTTTCATTTATATTAAGTCTGCATAATTAAAGGTGTGGCCGCTTGAGTGACAGCTAGGTCTCGCCAGTTGCTGTCACGTCACCTAAGCTGATTTCAGCTGATTAGCAGCTGAGCTCAGCATATACATCGTATTTTTGTTTTGTTTTATGTGGCTTTAAACAGTCAATTGCCTTTTGGAATTATTTCTTAAAATTAGCAGATAATTTGACATGCTGTGTGCACTTAATTGTGTTCACAAACCATTCAAGTGACCTCGATCCTTTTCCCAGGTGAGTGAAATTCTTACACTTGAAATTTTTTGAAAGGTCATCTGAAATGCTGTCATACAGTTTCATGCCTGGATTTCATAAAAAGCCTTGCATTTACTAACACAGACTATATTTGAAGTATTTAGAACTAATTAGTGTTTTCCTCCTGTAGAAAAACGTCATAAGTATAGTGCTTATTGGCTCAATGTATTACAACAGTGTTTTAAAAAGACCAAGGAGAATTTATTAATATAGTATATAACCAAGCACATGTGGTCAATGAAGTGGTAACCGTTTCTCCCAAAGAAAACCCCATCTAAGCAAAATGCTAGCATGCATCTGCAGCTTTGCCCAGGCCTGACTCTTTGCCTATTTTTGGTTACCAGCAGTCGGCACGATGACACGCAAACAAAATGGCAACAGTTTTAGTTTCATTTGCACTTTTCAGAAACCTATGGGTGACATAACGATTACTAGGTCCAAATTTTTCACAGTCTATAGTTCCTCCCCTTAATGTTACAACTAATAAATGTGCAGGAAAACAGATCAACACTGTTTTGACAATTGATAATTTATTTATTTAATTACTTTAGTATCTGACAGTGTTTAGCCAAACCATTGGTGTAATTGATTAATTACATGTGAATAAAATACATTTAAGCCAGGATACTTTAAATAAATTTAAGCAGATACTACAGAGCATTTTAATTGGTCTGAATAACTGATGGGAAGCAGAAGTATGAGGTACATCATAATAATTACCATACTGGTGGATGTTTTTGAATGTGTATGTCTTCTAAATGCAGATTTCATGTTTTTCTGCATATTAACTACTGAACATACTAATACTAACACCTAAAATATAATATTTGGTCCCACTTTATATTAAGTGTCCTTAACTACTATGTACTTACATTCACATGCTTATTGAAAGTAGTGTGAGACAATGAGACATTCTAAAATGAGAAGTTCTTAATTTAAAAATACAAAATTTAAATCTTGTACAAGAACTCTGACAAATAATGCGCATTTTATCATTATCTCAGACACCACATTTAAATACAGTATTGAATTCAACCAATTTCATTAAAGTTATTTTAACATGACTGTTTAAAACAGTCTAAACTTTTGTAAATGACATCAAATGACGTTCAAACCATCATCATTACTCTGATTTTTAAATGTCAGTATTAATTGTAAGTAACAAGTACAATAAGTGAGTGACGCAGTGGCGCAGTAGGTAGTGCTGTCGCCTCACAGCAAGAAGGTCGCTAGTTCGAGCCTTGGCTGGGTCAGTTGGCCTTTTTGTGTGGAGTTTGCATGTTCTCCTTGCGTTTGCGTGGGTTTTCTCCGGGTGCTCCGGTTTCACCCACAGTCCAAAGACATGCGGTACAGGTGAATTGGGTAAGCTAAATTGTCTGTAGTGTATGAGTGTGAATGAGTGTGTATGAATGTTTCCCAGAGATGGGTTGCAGCTGGAAGGGCATTGGCTGCGTAAAAACATGTGCTGGATAAGTTGGCAGGTCATTCTGCTGTGGCGACCCTGGATTAATAAAGGGACTAAGCTGAGAAGAAAATGAATGAATGACTGAATGAATGACTGAATGAATGAATGAATGAATGAATGAATGAAATATAATAAGGACTTTCTTGGCGCTACATATGCTGCGGGTGTAAATTACAAAGGTGCTTAATTTGAATTTCATGGTCCTTGAACCTGCAGTTCATAAAAGAGTGGAACCCTGTTTTATTTTAGGGATTAAACATGGAGCTGTAGGAGAAATAAAGATTGATTTTCAGATCCCTCTCACCTGTATGGTTTGTCCAGGCTTCACCATGTTGAGCTCGGACAGGCTTTGAAGAATGTCATCCATCGCCTGCTCACTGAGCTTTGTGGGATGAGACTCAGTTCCAGTGACATCATCTGTTCTGTGCTCCATCCCTGTCAGCTGACGACCTGCAAACAGCAGCAGCATTTTAGGAATATGATGACATTAGTTATACAACAATGAGCAACACAATCAGCCGTCACAGGATTACTGCTCTCACAGCTCTGCAGATGTGATGTTCTCTATTATGACGTGCGGTTCGGGGCATTAATGTGATGGCATGGTCTCACCTTCAGGACTGGGCTCTTCTCCAGACTGATCGCTCTGGCCGTCTGCAGGACCGTCTGGCTGCTCATCTGCATTCAGCTCAGCGTGCTGCAGACTCAGCTTATGGCAAACCTCAAACGCCTGACCGACCGTCCGCACAATTCGCATGGCCTGACTCTGAGAGAGGAGACAAGTGGATAAATGCAGAGGTTTAGAGGCCTTTAGAGTCATGCATACAAACATGCTATTTATATACACAATATCAAAAAGCAACATGTTCATTTCTGAACTATTTGCTTAAACACAAACTGATTTTTACCAGGTTGCACACATGTATAATGAAACTGGTATATTTTTACAAATGCATTTGTATAATTTTATTGAAGGACTTATTTTGCTTATTTTGTTTAGTGTAGTGTAAAATGGATCTATATATTTATATTATACTATATACTGCATTTGTTATTTATTGCATGAGCTGTTTTTAATTTATACATTTATAAACAATTAAACATATATTATGTTATATTATATTATATTAAATTATATTATATTATTTTATTATACATTTTATTTTGACTTTCAATCTTGTGGATTTATTCAACCTTTCTATTCTTCAGATTCCTTCCTGTGTGTTATTTTATTACATTTGTTATATTACTGTTCTTAGTTTTGTCAGTATAAAGAGAAAAAAAGCAATGGGCAAAGAGTAGGAAAATGCAGACAGTGACGAATAGATGAAGAATATCAAGGTTACAGCCCTCTGCAAGCTATCACTTGCAACAAGAACAAGGTGGATTAAAAAAAAATGCTATGTATGATATTAAACCACATATTGAGGCAAAGCAAGAGAAGACGATTTATTTTTCTTCTGTGTAAAATGAAACTGCCCTACCTTCTTTTTGGACTTGAACACGTTGCATCTGAAAGAGTTGCTGGATCCATCACGAGCAATGTAGCTGAAAATCTTCAGATCCTGAGAATCATGCGATACATAGAAGATCCTTTGAGGAAACAAATAGGAAATAGGAAAGAAGAGAATAGAATAGAAAGAATAAGAAATAAAAAAACAAAGGTCAGTTATTGTTAGATAATGTGTATTTACTAACATGAACTATTTGAACAGTACTTGTACCGCATTTATTAATCAACCCTCAACAAAATGTAAATTAAATTTTGTTAATATTATTTAACTAACAATGAAATACTGTATTAATGTTACCTAACATTAGCTAACATTATATAATAAATGTATTGTTCATTGTTTGTTCATGTTAGCAAATGCATTAACTAACATTAACTAATACAACCTCATTGCAAAGTGTTACAGAAAAAAAAAACATAAGGTTGAAATGCAGTTCATCTCATTAAATTTCCACAGTCTCACCTGTATATGGGGTCTTGCATAACCAGCATCTTGCTCTCGTCCCACGTCCACTCTTTCCTCTAGAGGTCAAAGCAAGCCAAATGTCAGGCACTCTAACGAGAATGCTCATTATTAATGTGACCAAATATAACCTCATTTCATAGGACACAGAATAATAATGTTCACATAGGTCACGGGGTCATGTGAGGGGTGTACAGGGATGATGACATCTCACATGCCTTGGGTTTCTTGCGAAGCACCACTTTGACCCCGTCAACTGAGACCACGATAGCCACTTTCTTCTTCTTCACACTCTTTGCCTTGAACTCATACTGCAAGAAAAAAAAAGTGCTTTAAATGCATGATGAGACATTTTTGAAGACCCACGCAGAACTTAAACACCCATTCTAATGTTTTCCAATAAATGATCTCGCTAAACATCCAATTTCCATCTTTAAGATTCAGACTGAAGTACGGGAGGCAATTTAAATCAGTTACTACTCATTAGCACTTAAACTGCTAAATTATGAACATCAGCGCAAATGATTATCATTTTGCCCTGAGAGCCTAATTTACAATTAACAACAACTTTTTTTTTAAAGAGCACAAACTAATTTAAAAACATGGAATGTTTTTATTTACTCATAGTATGTGTACAAAAAAATGTTTTTGTTCTATCAATCATATTTTTAAGAACAATCTAAAGCTCAGTATGGTTACAATAAGTTGATCAACAATAGAGTAAACAGCAATATTGTAAAATTAATGACTTTGTAAAATCATTTAAAATATTTTAAAGCTCAATATTTTTTACATTTTCCTGTCAAAGCTGAATGTTCATTCAGCATTTTTATTCTACAGCAGGGGTGCCCAAAATTTTTTTCTATGGAGGGCTAAAAACCAAACTTGAATGAATCGTGATTTGACAAGTTGCATTTGATTATTCTCAATATGAGGCTGCAATTTATATGTATTATTTAATTTCCCCCGCCCAGAGCAAATGAGTTACTGCCGTCTGTGTGTGACAGTCTTCTAGCCAATTGAGTGAGCACACTTTTGCTCTTTTTTTCAACCGAACTATGTGGAACGCCCACAATAAAAACCAAACAGACGGACGAACGAGTGGGATGATGGCATTTACCGCTTCAGAAACATTAATAGACAAAATAATATTATCGGTAGGACATCGGTAATAAGGGAAAATTGTGGTTTTAAAGTCACAGACACACAAACAAAAACAGGTCATTTGTACGAATTGTAGCCACAGCATATGGAAAAACAACAATCAACACCTAAAAAAGCGACTATATAAGAAGTGTCTTGATAAAAAGTCAAATAAGAGTAGCTAGCGACACTCAATCTAGCAGCAAGCAACAGCAAAATACAATTTCAGAGTTGTTTCAGCCATGTAAGTTTGCTAAGTGTTCTGCATTTTTATAATAATTATTTTGTGTTACTTCACATGCTCAAACATACAGTACACCAATGATGTGTTTTAACTTCATGAATGAACATGACATTATATAGAAATTCCCTTCATTCGCTAAACTCGCTGAATGCAACACACTGCACTGTTTCTGTGCTGAAACCCATTATAATTATGTCATAAAAGCCTTGCTTGGGCCTGAATTGGTTTGGGACATCCCTATATATTATATTAAGATTTTATCTACTGTATGCAGTATATGCTGAGTGCACAATCCCAGAATGTATGCACTGCAAGCAGGTCTGTGGTAATAAAAAGTATGCTAGTAAGCAGATAAAGTTGAGAGGAATGCAGATATTTCTCTGTGCTTTGTAAGTTTTGCTTATTAGAGCCTTGAGTTGATGTGTCGACTCCAAACAACTGGGATCAGCTCTAAGCATTAGCGGAATCTCTGATCTCCATTCAAGTAAAGTGATTGTTAAAAGTGTTAAAGCTGTTGCTGCTTATTTGCTGCTATGTTTCAGGTCAGACACCAATAAGGATCCATTGTTTGTATTAGGGCTGCACAATATATCAATTAAGCTTTGATAACGCAATGCGTGTATCCGCAATAGTCACATCACAGGATTAGATTATTTATTAAAGATTAAAAGATAAAGACTTTATTAAATATTTCTATTTTTAAAGTAATTTATACAATGAAAGCCATGTTAGTTTAGGTTTGACTGTTTATTTTCTGTACCTGAATACTGTTGCTTTCACACCTACACTTTTGTTTCGGAACGTATCTCGTTTGCCCAGTTAGCGCGGTTCGTTTGGCATATGTGAACAGGTCAATCGCGCTCTGTTCCGCGCCAAAGTAATCGCTCCGAGATCGCTTTTAAGAGGTGGTCTCGGCTCGATTGAAACGAAGCCTGGAGCGGTTCGATTGTAGTGAGAAAGCGATCCGATCCGAGCGCGGTTATATCACAGTGTTTTATGGATATGTAATAGGCTTACGGCTATATGGAGAGAGAATTATGAGTATGGCGGGAAGTTTCGGGAGTCTCCGGATGCCCGCAAACGAGTGATGATCTCCCGGTAATCTCGCGTCTCCCTCCAGGTCCTCAAATAGGCATCGTCGCGCACCCTTCTCACCCCTCCCCACCGAGTCTCTCCTTAGACACGTCGCGTGCGCGCACCCTGTCAATCACCACCAAACCACCACCTCTTCTGACAGCTTAGCGGGATGCTGCAAAATAAACCCTGACACTCTGACCAATGTAAGGAGATTTTACTCGCACGTGACTTGTTTTAGCTCTTTTGGTCCGATTAGAAACTTTGCAGTGTGAAAGCGAACCGCTCCAAGAGCAAAGAGCAACAATGTAACAATTGTAATCTCTGTTTCGGAACAACTGATTCGATTCACAGGTGTGAAAGCACTATTCTCTAGCAAACCACAAAACACTGTTTATTTCCTTGCTCTGTTATATTTATACATGCTTGTCATTTATTATGGTTTATACAAATGCACTGCATAGAAGAATACTTGATCATCCCAATCTATCTAAATTATTGAATTCCTATGTCCACTAATATAGCTATTTAATTCATCTGGTGAAATTATATTTATATATATTCATACATTCATTTTGCAGGAAAACAAAATATTGCAAGGTCTGATTTTTCCAATATTGGGCAGCCCTAGTTCATATTGAGTTTAATCAGAGCTTTCAAAATCCGTTCTCTCATTATCCAGCCCAACAGAGTATTATAAAGACATTAAAGGCACAGTTCAGCCAAAACTGAAAGTTTACCTTCACTTGTTACAAACTTTTTTGAGTTTCTTGAGTTTTTTGAGTAAATAAAATTTTTAAATTGTGTCCTAACTACACTGATACAACACAGTTCAAGCGAAAAGCATTTTGGTTTTCTGCACCAGATGCATCCTGAAAGAAACATTCACACACCAGAACCATTCAGAAGTGCAAAATATGTATTGCGCTACCAATCCAGTGGTAAGGTTTATAATGTGATTAATACTTTAACTTGGGATGCTCCGATTGATCAGGTAGAGATTGGTATCGGCCGATAATCACATCGGTACTCGTCAATCTGGCCAACCTCATGAATCGATTACGGTTTGTTTAGGAGTTTACACAGAGAGAAAGATGTATGTGTGCTCATCAGCAATGCTACAACACATACAGAGGTAAGTGATGCGTGGGGCATGAGTGACTACTGTGCTCACGTCACAGCAGCCAAAATGTAGTTTTTCCAAATCTATTGACGCGACTTGCACGAGTAATGATCTCTTTGTTAAAAGTGCAACCACAGTATGTCCAGTGTTTCGAGCTGCTGTGGCTAGGCATGGGCAGGTACAAGATTCTGACGGTATGATAATCTTGGATATAAATATCACGGTTTCACTGTATCATGATATTGTGTTCACTGCTCTAAAATATATTCTTTTTAAATGGCTGGGTAAAAAAACAAAAACTTGTTCCCCTTTGAAAACGATATATTTTATTTTTTTAAAGATTTAAAATAGTTTGGCGCAGTAAACATGTCAGGCTAAGTAATTCAAAAGATTAATTGACTTCTGCTGTCTTCATTAGTTTCTAAAACACTGATTTCATTACAATTTAAAATGGCATCTTTGGATACTTTTTTCAGCTGGAGATACTTTTGTCCTAAAAAACGAACAAAACAATATTAAAAAAATGTAAAAACTTGACTTTTCCAAACCGTGGTATACCTTGAAAACTGTAATTGTCCCATGATGTGACGCGAGTGGAGATATTGCTGCTATCTAGTGTCTCATCCAACCGTATTGCCTCTCCCGGAAGCTTTACGCTTCTCCAGAATAAAAGGTGTACACAATCAGCACCTGAATTGGGCATTGTCATAGTAATTTATGCTGTTGTTCAGCTGCGAAGTCGCATTAAAAAAAAAAGCATTTCTAAAATAGAAATCCTCTTGGTCTTTTTGAGAGATATAGGGATTAGGGATGAAGACTTTTGTTTATTTATTTATTTATTTATTTGTTTGTTTGTTTGTTTATTTATTTATTTAGTTGTTTTTTTACACATTTCTTTAAAGAGTCTAAAAGACTCACATTGACACTATTAGAGTCTTTGGGTTTTTTGAAAAAAAGACATGAATCATTTCTCCTAAAACACTTGGTATTCATTATTGAAGTAAAGTCCTGTACTGAGCTGAGAGAGTTCTGCTGGTTCACAGGAACATTAGGCTGATCCGTCCATCTCTTGTAGGCTAGAGGAAAACAAGAAGCAGGGGATGCTTAAAGACTCTGAGATGTACTACAAAGAAAGCGACATGACAGGTCTGTCCACGTGGGCAGATGACAAAACTTTAGTCTTGCTCAAGTGTGTTGAAGTTGCTGAAACTTTAAACTATCTTGCCAGAATTAATCAGCATCATCACTGATTCACTGTGTATTAGATGTTGAGGCAGTGCTTATTTTTTACTCATTTGTAACACACTCTGGGCTGCAGAAACTGCTAAATGAGTCAATCTACATTTGCTTTGTTACAGTAATTATAGCTTTTTACTGGTATATGACACTGTAATTATAGACCTCCAAAGAATGTCCGTTGAGGGTTTCGCGCTTTAATAGCGTTTTAAAAACTAAATGTTTGCATCTTGAGTTTTTTTTTGTCTGAATTGCAATTAATTAGATCTAAAAATATATTTTACATGTTTTTTTTTAATATCATTAAATAATTAAAGAAAGATAGCTATTAAAATGCCTTTTCTTTCCTTGAGAAATGTTCTATTGTAAGAAATATCATTATAGCACAACTCAACAACAATATAATAAAAAAAATTTTTTCAGTATCTTGTATCCCTAGTTTGGAAAGACTATGTACACAAATATGTATTTAACAGACAAGTAGGGAATCC